GCGAGAGCCATCCAAAATCGGTTTGGAGTTCATTTTTCTCCCTTCCTTCCTTCCTTCCTTCCAAGAAAAGTTGAAAGAAAACCATGGGAGCGGAGAAAGACCACGAGGAAGAGGACGGCAGTTCCTCCACGGAAGTGGATCAAGAAGATCAAGAAGAAGAAGAATTGGAAGAATCAGGACCCATTAACACTGCTCCGCAAGAAAACGAGAATGAGAATAACGATGGTGGTTTCACATTTTCCAAATCCTGGGCCATTGACAAGGCTCATGTCCCCATTTACACGGGAGGAAAGATATCGCCTCTCTACTTGAAGAAATCATCGGATGACGTTCTTTCTTGTATGATTCTTCCAGTCGATGGAGACTTGGTCGTTGTGGATGCACAACGAGGAACCAAACTGGGATCTGTCCGAGAAAGAACAGATACCAATGAAGATGACGAAGATGATGAAGGTCTCGATCGAGATGCCATTACTGCATATGCTCTATCATCCTCCAATTCTCTCGTCACCTGCAGTCGAAATCATCTCATGCAACAATACGAAATCAAACTAGTCCAAGACAATGACGACAACAACAACGATACTGTACAAGTCACACTCCAGAAAACGTGGGGACGTTCGGGACACTCCCTTCCCGTCACGGAAATGGAATTCCATACATCGGGAACCTTTGTCGCTACAGCGTCCATTGATGGAACTTGCCGCATTTTTGACGCCAGACCTGGTCATGTCACACATATCTACAGACCCATTGCCGGAGGGGAATCGGGACGACACGGGGTTTCCTCCATTGCATGGATGAAGGATACTACCCATCTAGTCATTGCCATTGGAAGAGATGACGGATCTATTGCCATTCATGATCTTCGGGATCAAGACATGAAACGAGTCGTCGTCACCAGAGAACACATGGGGGCTGTCACTTCCATGAATTGGTGGTGGAAACAACCGCAAGCAGACAACAACAATAACAATACGAAGGCTGCATCGTTCTATCCAACCATGTTTGTAACCGCAGCCAGAGATGCCGTCGTGAATGTATGGCGAATCAGTGACAAGCCGAACGAGGAAAAGAAAAAGGGCAAGAAAAACAAAAAGTCCAAGAAACAACAAGCATCCATCGACAACACCTTGGGGGCGCCAATGTATCAACGAATCAGCACACACCCAGTGTATGAACAAGTGGAAGGAATGGCACTTTTGCCAAGCGGCAGTGATGATGACGACCACGCTGTCATGAACATTGCAACGGCAGGAAGCAATGGTGTGGTGCGCTTGTGGAGTTATACAGAAGTCAGCAATGAAAGGGCGGAAAAGCCAGCTTTGACGTTGAAAGCAGAACAACAAGCATCACAGGCGTATGGAAAGGACCGAGGAGGATACCTGGGTATGTATGTCATGAATATGCCAACAGATTCCACCAGCAACACTGATGAAGATGAAGATGACGACGATGATGGCGATGACTGGAATGCTTCAAGGAAGACAAACAATCAGCTTGTAGTAGCAGACGCAGAACACTGTCTGTCATTCCTGTTGCTTCGCGGTGACCAACAAAACGAAGAAGAATCAGCTTTGTCAACAGCTCGCACCATTGTTGGATTCAACGACGAAATTCTAGATCTCAAAATGATTCCTTCATCGTCATCACCGACAAAAGCTGCCACTCAAGTGGTCGTTGCAACCAACAGTGCACAAGTACGAATATTTGACCTGGATACGTTTTCGTGCCATACTTTGGATGGACATACTGCAACTGTACTGTGTGTGGATGTCAGCCCCTGCGGGCGGTTCATTGCCACGTGTGGCAAGGACAATCGAATGTGCCTCTGGCATACAGACACGAAACAGTGCATTGCAACGGCTGTGGGACATACAGAGGCTGTGGGTGCAACAGCTCTGTCTCGAAAGAAAGGTACGTGAAACATACAATCAAATCAAACGCTGCATGGACGAAATGAAAGGAAGCCAACTGGTGTTCTCGTCGCGACAATACAGGACTCTACGACGTCGGGGGCAAAGCAGCCAAGAACGGTGGCGGTGCATTTGCTGTCACAGTCAGTTTGGACAGAACATTAAAGCGATGGAATCTTCCAGGCAGCAGCGAGCTCGAAAAACGTGCTCGAGGTGACCAAGAGGCACTGTCGCTGGCTGCTGCATTCAGCTCCCGCGCCCATGAAAAGGATATTAATCTTGTATCCATTGCCCCCAATGATTCATTGGTTGCAACAGGGTCGCAGGACAAGTGTGCCAAACTCTGGAAATCCACAGACTTGAGCCTGTTGGCAACTTTGAGAGGTCACCGAAGAGGAGTGTGGGATGTTCAATTCTCACCCTTTGACAGGGTTGTGGCAACAGCTTCTGGTGATCGCAGTATCCGGCTTTGGTCACTTGGTGATTATAGCTGCGTAAGAACATTCCAGGGACACGTCGCAAGTGTCCTTCGGGTCCGCTTTCTGAACGGAGGTCTTCAGGTATGTTTCCAACTTATTGAGCAGTCGCTTGATGCAAAACCAACTCACAAATCTTCTCACGTCACCGCAGTTGTTGTCCTCGGGAGCTGATGGGCTGGTCAAACTGTGGACGATTCGAACCAACGAGTGCGAGGCGACGATGGATGGGCACTCTGACAAGGTTTGGGCTCTGGATGTTGCTCCTGTCGGAAAGACGATGATAACAGGTGGTGCTGATTCCAAGCTTCTAGTTTGGAAAGACACAACAAAGGTCACCGAGGATGCGAAACAAGCCGAACGAGAGGAAGCGTTCCTGATGGATCAACGCCTGGCCAATCACTTACGACACAAAGAGTTTGGGCAGGCACTGGACATTGCTCTCACAATTGACAAACCGCGACTCACTTTGAAAGTCCTTACGTCCATCATCGAAACTGAACTCAAAGCGAATCGCAGCCCCATCAAATGCTTGCAGCAATACGTCCCGACGTGGTCCATGGAGAGAGTGGTGCAAGTCTTGCAGTATTGCCGAGACTGGAACACGCGAGCTCGCAATTCTGATGTGGCCATGACGGTCGTTCGAGCTATCGTCTCAGCAATACCAGCAGACGAATTGGGAGCAAACGAAAGTGTTGGCATGATATTGGCGGGTGTGACACCATACGCAGAACGCCACTTTGACCGTCTGGACGGATTGCTTGCAAATTCGTATTTGCTTGATTTTGCACTGTTTGCAATGGGCAGCTTGGAAACAACAGAAGAGGACGATGACTTTGCAACCTGGGAAGCTTCAAGCAAGCTTGTCTTACCGCCTGCACACGTGGATGGTAAGATTCAAGTGGGAGGCCAGTCGATCGTAGGCGGTCGCGCAGGTGGACGAAAGGACAACGATGAGGAGGACATCTCTGTCGTGGGCGTGAGCGACTCCTCAGATGATGATGATGATGACGACGACGACGATGACGATGAAACCGAGATGAAAGACGCAGAGGTTCCTGATTCCCGGAGCAGCAGCGGCAGCTCGGATGGTTCATCGAACCGCGGGGGGAACAAATCCGACAGTTCGTCTGACGATGACTCCGATGGCAGCGACTGATGAGCATCAACAATGACCTTCGTGTGCTCCCCGACCACCTTTGGAGAAACTTTTTTTGAGCGTACTCATAGCTACATGTATGCTGGTATCAATGGGGCAACAACCTTCCAACATCGGGTGACCGGATGACCTTTCTGCAACCAACAAGGAAAGATTACAATCGCTCCTTGATATTATTGTAGCAACTTGCGCGTTCAGTGAAGTTGCAACAGGCACTCCGCACACTGCTCGGTTCGGCGGCCATCGAAAATTTACTTGCTGTGCTATCGGTGCGACTGTCACTCGTACAGTAGCATAGGAAGCCTCGCAAAGTAGCAATAGCAATCACCATGATCCAATGCCACCTCTACCGTCGCCAGCTAGCTTGGGTGTGAAGCTGCGGGCTTGTACCAGTAGTATTGTGTGCAAAACCACATAGCCATACCTTGAAAGATTGTGCTGCACGATGCGGCCTCCGCACAAGCAACAAGCTTCGGACAAGGTGTAAACCTAATGGAGAGAGCGTTTGCAAGTAAATGGATTGTACATGTACAGTCGTACTGTTTGGATTGTGTTTCTATTGGGCAATTGAACGCACAAAGGAACAACTTGTACATTATTTTGCAAACTTGGTATTAGATCGAAAGAGGACTACGGGAGGCGAAACCTCCAAATTGACGGAACAAGGCGACGTTGATCTGGTCTCTAATGCAGATTGTTTTTGATACTGTGAATACACGTAATTCTGAAGGTTTGCCGCCCTTGCACCAATGATCTTCCCACCAACCATGAAACATCTAGAGCACGATATCACCAGCAAAGCATACTTGGGAGTATGCACGATACCGGTGCCGAGTCCACGGCTTGCCTAACCATTGGCTTGCAGTAGACTGTTGCGCACATCATCCCCAAGAGTTCGGCTGGTGGGAACAAACGTCGTCTTGCAATGACCCGCACTGCCCACATCACTGCAATGGGAGAGGGAGAGAATAACCAATGTGAGCAAATCAATCGCTGAAATTTCCTTCCAGAAAGAAAGAATACGACGATACGTACCGAATCATATCAAAGTACTGTGGTAAAACAGAAACGCATTGAGTGGAGTTTGCAGATAGATGATGATGAGAGCGACCATAAAACGAGACACCACTGCCAAAAAGCAACTTGCGTCCGTTCTCCTTACCTGAGTCAAAAGCAACAAGTCCATGACATCCTTAGTGGAGGAACCCTCTACACTATCATGAAAGTTGACAATCGATGTCCGCAACCCATCGACAATGGCCTTTCGCTGTTTGGCCACACCCACACCGGACAAGTACTTTGCATTTGCTTCGGCCTCAGCTCGCTTGACCTCGAGAATCTTTTCTCCCTCTGCTCTCTCTGCCACAGCAAACTTGAGTCGCTTGGAAGAGTTGATTTCGTTCATTGCCGCCTTGACCTTTTCATCTGGATCCAAATCCGTAATGAGAGCCTTGTTTCGTTATTTTGGGCGCGTGTTGTATATAGCAAATTGTTGATGAGAGATGTCGACACCCAAACGCAATCTTCATCATAATATCAGTTCAACCCCAATCTAATCAAACCGCTGCGTACCTGAATGATGCTATATCCGTAGTTTGACATAACATTGGCAAGTGCGTTCTTGACAGCCAAGGCCAGATCCTCCTTGGCTTCAAACACGGCATCCAATTCCAACGTGGGGAGCTGGGAACGCATCACATCATACACATGGCTTGATTTGTGAAAATAGAAGAAAAGAAGCAATCAATCAATTGAGAATTGAATTTTGACAAAGTGTAGCCCACAGACTGATAAAAGAGAGACTTACGCTGTGATTTGCTGCGAAGGGTTTGTGAGCTCGTAAAAGGCTTCTGTGACCTGATCCAGACAAAAGAACAGGGTGAGGCAAACAAGAAAGGAGACATGACGCAAACCTCTTCCTCTAGAACTAGATCAGCAGCACAGATGGATCTTCATGTACATACCTTCTCTGCCAAGATACAATACTGGACACTGACAGTAGCTCTGGGGTGCACGGGAAGGAGCAAGGTTGTGAGAATCCTTGGATCCTTGAAGCGAAAACAAAGAACAAAAAGGAATGACCAATCCATCCTCTCATTTTTTCTTACGTCAAAAAGACGTTGTCGAGCGTCTTGCTCTCGACCCGCACGTTCAATTCTTGGACACGGAAACTCAGAGTCCCTACAAGCAGGTCCATGGGAGGACACACAACGTGACAACCAGCCTTGGCCAGTCGGTCGTACTTGCCCCAGCGCTCGATGATCCCGACTTCACTGGTTGAAATAGTAAAACATTGCGGAAGAAAACACATCTTGGTGATGCAATCTAGCTACTAGCTATAGTCAGTAGAGCCTATGCTACTACCACAACAGAATAGCTGAAGGGGTTCTCAACTACCAGCAGCAACAACAACAGCAACAACAACAGCAACAAGGAGAGCAGAAAGCTTTCTTGATCTGTGCTGAAGCTCCGGTTCGTCAATTGTCACGCGGTGCCAGCTTCCGATTGATCATTCAATCGAATCATTCGACTCGACAACTTCACAAGACTCGATGTCTTAAGCTCCAGCCCTAATGACATTCGGGGTCAACCGCACATCAGTTCAAACGTCTTTTAAGGTCTGGCCGTCGCTACACTTGGTTTTTCTTCAAATTGCTCGATTTGGGTGGGGATAACGACCAATCTTCTCTTATTTGACACAAATTCGATCAAAAGAACCATAGAATTGTCATTTGTTGCCCTACCACGGCCAGACCTTAAGAGCCAAATCCTCGACTTTGAACTGATGTGACCGAGAGTGTGAGAGCAGAGTGACGCTCGAAGGTGTCGGAAGGTGGCATCAACCACACACTAGCACAACCATCCAAGCAAAACAACAGGCGAGGCAAGAGGCACCGAAAGAGGAAGAAAAGATAGGAAGACCAACCTCTTCAGCTTATCTAACACCCAATACCGGTAGAGCGCTTAGAGCACGATAAGAATCAATCCATTGGTAGAAGTTTCGAGTCGACTCTCACTCAGATCACATAAATACATCAGAATGATGAGAACGTTTCTCTTCCTCGCCATTGTGGCGGCAGTGGCCTCCATGACAACCGCCTTGTCATCGACGGGAAAAGCCAAGTTCTATGGAGGAGCTGGTGTTGGTCGTCTCGTGGTGGACGAGTCTGCTGGCAAAGAAAATGCATGGAAGTGTCACTACGATATGGTGCTCTGTGAACGCATCCAAGGAAAGGCAAGGAAGGAAAGTGGGCTCTATGTTCCACAAGAAGATCTACCCAAGCTGCACTTGTGTAAAGTGTTGGCCTTGGGACCAGGAAAGGAAGAAGAAAATGGAATGGTGGCACCCATGCCAGATATCAATGTTGGAGATATTGTGATAGCCAAAAATCCCTGGGGAATTGGTCCAAAGGATGAGGAAACCGCGGACGGAAAGAAGCTGAGCTTTATGCGAAGTCAGGATATTGCGGCTGTGATAACTGGAGGATTGCTTCCAGATGAGGAGGAGGACTAAATCGTGTTCGCTCTAGCTTGTATTAACGTCTTCTTTCACAATCTGCGTTATAAAAGATGTCCTCATCGATCGATAGGTCGGCTCGTCCTTGTGGCTATTGACCCGTGCAATATACCGCACGCGTGTCGTATCGACGTATTTCTAGATGGAGGCTAGCTAGATTGATAGATCCATCCAACAGACTCGACTCGACTCTGGTGATAATATGATAGCTGCAGGAAAGCATTATGTGAACTAAACCTGCTCTACCATACGGTAACTTTTGTTGTTGTGTGTTTTCTAGTAGCTAAGTGATGAGGGCGTTGCAGATCTATGATTGAACCCAATTCTGTACCCTTGACCATACCGGTACCGTATCGTGGCCTGGCGCAGACACAACAAGGTTCCCGTGATTTTTCCACAAAAGGCAGAACCTGGAGCGGAAGATGTGTCTCGACGGAACGCAACCAGCTGCACAAATCCTTCTCCAAGGCAAGGCATACGGCGTTCAGTACCGATACGTCTAACCAGCTGATGAGCTAGTTAGCAACCTCGGCCCAAGTCCTCACACATCGCATTGCGCCGTTCTGCTTGTGTCATTGACTTATCCTTCTCTCTCTTTTCCTTTTCAGCTTTCAGGCCATCCTGGAATGTCTTGGGCGACGCTGCCTTGGCTTTCAACTCTGCTTTCAACTTGATCCTTGCATCCATTTCAGCTTTCTACAGAGTGCAACGTGAAACAAATGTCAAAAATTGAGAGAGGGAGGTTCCTTTTGTTGCTAAAATCCGGTCACTTGTACGACATGCCTCAGGTCTAACCACTACGACTTACTCTCTGAGCTGCTTCTTCCTCCGCTGATGGCATGGCAAGGTCATCAACAGCAAGAGCAGGGGCATTTCCCTGGATCAAGACACCAACAGCTGCCCCGGCCGAAGCAACGAGGAATCCTCGACGAGAATCTTGTTCTGCAAAGAGAGCCGTGGATGGCTGGACACCTGGGGCAACCATGAAGGCATTGCTGACCGAGCAAATTGTCAAAAAGGCGATGAACGCAAGACTTCGAGACATCATCATTTTCGGTTTGATATGAAAAACAAGTAGGACAAGAAATGTCTACAGTTGCGATGGGTCGATATAAGCACAATGTCATTGACTCATGGTGGTATCTTCCGCTATTGCGTCTGATATCGATAACAAGGGACCGCGATGACATCAAAAAATCGTCCGCACTGACGTACCTTTGATTAGTCACGAGGATATTGGACTCAGACTCAAAGATACCAGGTACCAGGTTGTCAAAATCTTGCAAAGATCCATCACTCAGCGCATCAGTCGTGATCATCGTCGACATTTGGCATCAGAGCACCGATCGACAGATACACTGTTCCAGGCCACACAAGAACCTCACAAGACAACCCCTCTACCTAATTTCCAACGAACCATCTATTGTGCCAAGCAAGCAAACGAAAACATGTTTCCCACTCTTCGAGCGGCGTTTCTTGCACTCTTTCTGCACGCTTCCACGATCACTACAACCTTTGCCTTGGACAATGGCTTGGGACTGACACCAGTCATGGGATGGAACTCCTGGAACAAATTTGCGTGTGGAATCAATGAGACCTTGATTCATTCAATCGCCGATGCACTCGTATCTACGGGACTTCGAGACTTGGGATACCATTATCTCAATTTGGATGACTGCTGGCAGCTTACACGAGACATGGGGTCGGGCAAGATTAAAGAGGACCCGAACAAATTCCCTTCTGGAATGAAGGCTCTGGGAGACTATATTCATTCCAAAGGACTCAAGTATGGACTCTATAGTGATGCCGGACTCATGACGTGCCAAAGGCGCCCTGGATCGCTCGGCCTAGAAACCATTGACGCCCAAAGCTACGCTGATTTCGGTTGTGATTACCTGAAATACGACAATTGTTACGCATTTGGGTTGAAACCTCAAAAGCGCTATGAAGCTATGCGTGATGCCCTCAATGCCACTGGAAGGCCCATCTTTTTCAGCATGTGTGAATGGGGAGCCCTAGATCCTGCCACTTGGGCAACTCCTATCGGAAACTCGTGGCGGACAACAGGAGATATCAACCCGACATGGGGATCTATCTTGGAAATCCTTGATAGAAACGACCCCTTGTGGCCCTATGCCGGACCAGGAGCATGGAATGATCCGGACATGTTGGAAGTGGGAAATGGAAACTTGACAGTAGAACAACAAAGGAGCCACTTTACTTTATGGGCCATCATGAAGGCACCACTGATCTTGGGCAATGATATCCGCACCATTTCACAGGAATCATTGGACATCATTACCAACAAAAAGATTATTGCCATCAACCAGGACAAGCTTGGAGCACAAGCACACTCAGTGTGGACCTCCGATGAGAAAGATACGCAAGTCTGGGCTGGACCTTTGGACGAAGGAGAATTTGTCATCGTCTTGTTCAACCGTGGTGACATCAACAATGTTGAGATTGCTGTGCATTGGAAAGATATCCCTGATTTCTATACAGACACAACAACTATGGTGCTAGAAGATCTTTGGTGTGACTGGAACACGACGGCCACAGGGAGTTTTACAGCCAAGGTTCAAGCCCATGATGTCGTGGCGTTTCGAGCATCACCAACAAAAAAATCAAACAATCTGAGAAAGAACGTCAATCTTCAGAGCCAGGCTTGAATGCAATACTTGTATGACGTTCCGAGTGTCATCGGTAGTAGCTCCGGTTGTCCCGTTAGACGCAGAAGGCCGTGTACAAGGCCAGCAGAAGGCTGCATCCAATGCCGGCTACACTAGCGATGCTATAGGTTGCGTTCCCTGCAAGTGGCAGTTGGCGTTACATGTATGCAGTAGAAAGATCCTATCACTGAACCTTATAAAATCTAATACGAATATGGTACCGGTAGCACCTCGTCGGGTACCGGTATGGATGGAAATGGAAAGCGATACGATGTGAAGCTTCAACCATCCCCATTTCATTTCCGAAAGTATCGCTCGTTTTGTTTTCGCACTCTGCAGTGCGCTGGTCAAATGCTGCAACTCTCACAAGCCGACCTATCAAGCTGCGAGCGAGTCAAAGTCACTCATAATTACGTGCCATTTGCTCCAACAAGCAACCCTCAGCAAGTACTCCACTCGAAGTCATCTCTAAGCAAGCATCTCTCCAAGAAGCTTTTCCACAGAAGTATTCACATCGCATTTTGTGGTCGGGCCATGCTGCTTGCTGACAATCTTTGGAACAATACTCCCTCATTTCGCATTGGGAGCACCATATCGTTTTCGTCGTCTCCATGGAACAGTTGCTGCAACACCGGACTTCAGGCTCTTCTAGTAGCACTGTCTGCTTCATCTCTGCCAAGCAATCACATGGAATTTTCTTGGCCAAGTATTTGACTACATCACGTCTGCTTTCACAATGCTTAGTAAAACACCACTGCAAACTGAGCATCTTCTGAAACCGTTCATCCAAACTGGTTGGCGAGTCCTGCAATCCCACGTTGCAAGGGCAACCTTTCTCCAAGTAGATTGCCACCTTCATGTACTCTCTTGCCAATTGCCATGCCATTTCTTTCTCAGACGGAACAGCCTCACCAAACGCACACCAATAAGCTGAAAAAGCATAAACGTTGGCGGCTTTCTTCTTGTGCGAGGTTTCTGTCAGCTTTGCGATTTCGATGGCCAAATCGCTCCATTGCCAATCGTCTTCACGTGCTAGATACCGGAAGCACATCTCAATGCAAGGATCACTATCGTTTCCTCCTCCATGAGTACAAGCTGCAGTAGCCCACTTCGTTGGATTTTTGACGGCTGGATTGATGTCATTGGATGCCGAAGGGGCCTCTTGCTGTGACGCAGAACCGCTATGGTTCGATGGACTGTTCTTGTCCTTCTTTTTTCCTCCCTTCTTCTTGGAACTACGGCGGTTCTTCGTCTCTCTTGTGTTGCAATGAGGCACCAGGCACGAGGAGACAGAAAGGATCGGAGCTCAGGATGAGGCGAGACGGCTAAAAAATGACGAAAAAAGGCATCGTTGTGTCGAAAACGCAATAATATTGTTATCTGCGTAAACCGGGCCCACTGTTTTTGCTCTGGCTAGTTGGAAGAGTTGAGCCGAAAGTGGAGCCGCTACATGCCTACTAGCTAGTAGCTAGCTGGTAGAAGCTAGCTTCGGTACCGGTATCGTTAGCTCTAGCTATAGAAAGAACGATGAGAGACCAACCGCGAAGGGAAGCTAGCTAGCTAGCAGTGGAGTGGCATTCGGTAGACCTGTTTGCTATAATAGTTAAGGCGGTTCCTGGTGTACAAATTCGTGCAAACTAGTCTTCAGGCTTGTATCGAGCGAAATCGCTCCTTTCAGAAGTCGAGTCGCTTCGTCTACTAGGCGTCAACCACCTGATTTCTTGCTTGCTTTTGCACGCGACCTATTACAGATTCGGGCTTCAACCCAAGCCCTGCCGTCTACTGCTGTGGACTGACCTTCACGTGATCATCGATTCTCAAAATGGTGATACTGGCCTCCGTGGCAAATCGGAAAGATTTGATCTTGGACATGGCTGGTTCCACAACACCCGCTGCAAGGTTGTCGCGTATTTCGCCATTGACAAGATCCAGACCGTAGTTTTTCAGGGTATCGTCGTCGTTGTCAGGCTGCTGGCTCTTGGCGTGGACAGCACGAAGCTTGGCAACAAGATCCGAGCTGTCCTTGGCAGCGTTGACAGCCAACGTTTTGGGAATCACCAACAGAGCATCTGCAAACTCCTGTATTGCCAACTGTTCACGAGTATCCAAGGTTGACGCGTAGTTTTCCAAGTAGACCGAGAGGGCCGCCTCGGCAGCTCCACCTCCAGGCACCAGTGTGCTGCTCTCGAGCATACGCTTGACGACACACAGAGCATCATGGATCGCTCTATCCATTTCATCCAGCATATACTCATTCGCTCCACGAAGGACGATTGTCGAGGCACCACTTCCTTTGCATCCATAAAAGTGCAGCATTTCTCCATCACCGACTCGCACTTCTCGAATGGCCGAACTCTGTCCGAGTGTGGCGGTATCAAAACTCTCGTTCCCTTCCATATCGGCCATGGTGGTGACCAGTTGTCCTCCAGTCGCCTTTGCCAGACGCTTGAGATCGTCCTTGGCACAGCGGCGGGCACAAAGCACACCCGCTTGGACAAAATATTTCATACAAAGATCATCCACTCCCTTGGTCGTAAGGACGACCTTGGCCCCTGCATCCAAGATTTTTTGAATCTTTTCCTTGGTAATATCGATTTCTCGTTGTTTGATGCGTTCAATTTCGGCCGGGTCTTTGACTTTGATTTCGACACCCATGGCCATGCGGTGTCTCTGCAAGTTCATGTCGAGCATGGCAATTTTGACTGTATCACCCTCGCTAGACTCAATGTGGGTTGGCATTCCCTGAGCCGCGCGAGTGGCATTCAGCGCGAAACCTCCCTTCATGAGCTCTGATTCGAGCGATGATTTTCCATGGGCTTTGAGGATATGAATGGCCGACAGTGGGTACTTGGACTTTCCATCGCCGGCGCTGGTTGTTTTGACAGATTTGACGGCATCCACGCAAAGTTTGGAAAAGAATTCCGATTCGTTTCCAATAATTTTGCTGCTCATGCTGGTTTTGGCTGCTTGCAGTAAATGTTCATCGGAGAGGGTAGAGACCTGCACGACCATGGTTTTCTTAATGTACTGAACGGCAGCTTTGAGCGCTGCGCGGTAGCCCGACAAAATGGTGGTCGGGTGAATGCCCTTTTTGACCAGAGTGCTGCCTCTGCGAAGCAATTCTGCCGCAATCAAGACGACACTGGTGGTACCATCTCCCACTTCGGCATCTTGCAACCGAGAGAGATCCACCAAAAGGCGAGCCGCCGGGTGTTCCACCTCCAATTGTGCCAGAATGGTAGCTCCATCGTTGGTAACTATTAAAACAACAAACCAAAATTAGTTCGGGAGATGAATATCTTGGGTATCATTGATAAGGCATCATTTTAAACCGATAATGCACTCACTTGTGACATCACCAATATCATCCACCAACATCTTATCCAAACCAACCGGCCCAAGACTCGACTTGACAATGTTGGCAACGGCTACCGCAGCAGTCACGTTGGCAATGCGGACATCTTCTCCTGATTCGCGTGATCCACCTAGAAACTGCAGCAAGCAAGCAAACAAAAAGGTTTAGCCTTCAATCAAGGCAACTGTGGAAAGATGAAAAGATCATCAAGCTAGCTAGAAGCAGCGTCTTACCAATCCTGATCCTGCGCCTGAGCTCGCCATGGTCAACCTGTACACAGTGTAGTATCTTTTCGAATGAAGAAAAGAAGAGTGGTGGCAGTTGATCGAGGCTTGGCCAAAAACAATGCTGCGAAAGATGCATGCAGAAGAATCTGGAACGAGCCGCGCGCGCATGAAGCGCGATATTTAGGGATAGCGGTACCGGTAGGAGTGAGCAGGAGAGGAAACGAAGAGAACGCAACGCCGGGGGAAGCATCCTCAAGAGATTCGTTGTTCGAGAGCTCACATTTTCAGTTTTCTCCTCGCCAAAATCAGGTTCCGTTCCCGTTCTGTGTCCCTGCATGTGAAAAGGTAAAAAGTTTCGCATGGATTGATTGACAGTGCAAGTACTGTATCGCAGTGTCAATCAATCTTACGCCAAGCTAGCTGTAGTCAAAAGACAGGGACCATGAGAGTCTCCGGCAAAGCGCAAGGGACTGTGAGCAGTCTGTCGTTTGGCTCTGTCACTTCAGACCTCGAGAGTGGTGAAGAAGATACTGGCAATGCATCGGGGGCGCTGCCGAATCATGAAGGTGGCTCAGTCTATGTAGTTCGTGGGTCTGTCAAGGGAGATCCAAATGATGCTGACCCATCAGACCAAGATAGCAGTCTGAGATACCTTCCCTTAGGAATGATTCTGGAAGATGACGATGCCATGGACACGGCACAGTGTCTTCCACCCCATGATGACGATGATGAACCCACGAACAATAACAACAGCAACAATACAAAAAGCAAAAGCAAGAACAGCAATAATAACAACAGCAACAACAAACGTAAGGAAGATGGGAAAAACAAGGCCAATAAAAAGCTATCCAAAAGGCCGTATAAACGAGATGCCATCAACAAGGCAATGGCCTCGGCCATGAAGAAGGGTGTGGATAGACGAGATGTTATCCTGTCGAGTCTAAAGCTAATGGGAATCACTGCATTCATTATTGACTCGCAGCACGCAGCAACAACATCAGAAGTCATGGAACATGTCAAGAGGGTAATCACGTTTGTTGGAAAAGAAAACCGGACTTTTGCGCCGTCACCCTTTCAACGCTGTCTTCTCTATCAAGACAGGGACAGGCTGCTGTATAACCTTACTCTACCCAAGTACTCTGCTGGACTCGCTGGGAAATGGCAAGAATACGTCGACAGTTTCTCCGCATTTCAGGCTACATTGGCAGTAGCCGTGCTGATGCGATCGCTGCCGTGTTCACAAGAAGGTAGGTACATAATGAGCTTTGTTACGAGTCGAGTCCAATCTACAATCATCTCTATCATGGCAAATGGCAAGACTCATTTTGCTATTTTGTGGCACAGGGGAAATGGACGGTCAACTGAAACCCGCCTATCTGGCACTACTGGTTGCGACAGTACTTGTCGAAGAAGTGAGCCTGTCTTGGGCAAACGTCGTAATGATGGTGCAAGCTTGTCCTTCCATTTCAGCTTATTCTGTCACCAAAGAATCTGGTTCTGACTGGATGCGGAAACTGATACTCTTCTTACTGGCTGTCGGAGGTGCTGCCACAGGGAAGACTCAGGTCTTCTTCGTCATGACTGGAATACTCTTGACTTGTGCCGTGCTGCTGGCAAACCTGGGAGCCCGGGCTTGGTACTTTTTCCAGTGGCAACCACTGAATTACAATGGGCCTCTGTCGACTGTCTTTGCATACGTCACTGCAATAGTGGTGGGCTTTGCAGTTCCTTTTCTGGGGCACAGGACAGCATGTGCAGGCGGGAAACCAGCAATCGAGTCTGTGATAAGATTGGCAGTACTATTGTCCTTTGGCTTCATCATTTCCGATTTTGAATCAGTCAAGCAATTCTTGATTGTTGGGAAAGAGGTGAGAGGCGAGGAGAAGTTGTACGGGTAGTAAAGCTTTTTGCTTGACAGCGTCCGCTAGCTCACACAATCCCTTCCTACTTTGCTCTTCGGAAAAGGCTTGCGACCAAACTGCTATCAATACGGTTGTCGGTATCTGGTTTTCCGTTTCCTTGGTGGTCTCAGTGTACATTTCATCTGAAGTTACCCCGATTCGAGATTATCCAGATGAAGAGCCTCTCTTGGAGGAAAACCACGAGTCTCCAGTGGGATACCTTGTTCCAAACCTACCAAACTTTCCAATCGACCCGTGCACGGGCAAGCGAGGAATGAGAATACCATTGAGAGCAGAAATAGCCATTGGCATCTTTTTGGCAACCTTGCTTGGAACGGGCATCGTCTCTTTAGCATATACAGACTGGGGAACATCTGTTGAGAACGGACTGACAAAGGTCGTGAATGTCTTTTGAATAGTCTTCATCAAATCCCCCGCATTGACCCCCAAACAATAAACGTTCGGTTCTTTCCCGTACGTTTATCGGATACCTGGGCGGTGGCGGAGAAACTATCCGAAAGGAAGTCGTCTCAGTCAAGGCTAGCTAGCAGAAGGAATGGTTTCTTTGGCTGGACAGCTCACAAAATCTCCGCCAATGCGATCTCTTGTGACATCAGTTTTTTGTCAACGATGTGCAAGTTTTACAATCTGATATTCAACACCAAGAGCTATAACTGTAAAAAAATTACTAACGCTAAATCCATCAACATCGCTTTTTAAAATGAGGCTTTTAGGCATGTACATGTACAACAACCCTAGCTAGAGATTCCAGCTGAAGAATCCAGCTGCCAACTTGCAACTCTCTGTTGCCATTTGTTATCTGGTTGTTGTGTACAGTAACAGCAGCAGGTGTTGATTTGGATATCAAAACACCCAATTATGGGGTGCCACGTGGAAGTATGAGTTCCTTCGAATTCCGAATTGCGCTTTGGTAGCTTTGAGTGACTCAGTGATCTCTCATGATGAGGATTGGATTCTCATTCTGCCTCCACCTCCAAGAGCGCAACTCTACGTTGATACAGTTCTACCCCCTTTTGATTGTCGCTGTCAAGCGACTATGCCGCCTTTAGAAACAGCAACAAATGCAACACAAGCTCAAGATGGTCCTGTATCTGTAGATGAAGGTAGGACATCGTCTTCAAATGCAAAGCCAAGGCAAACCACCACACCACAATTGCTACCTCTGGACAAGGATCCAATTCTTAGATCCATATTCTTTTTGATAGTATATTTGTGCATTACCATGTTCATATGGATTGTCTTCTTGCCAGCTTCTTGGCTCTTTAGCAGGTCTCAATTTCATCGAGAGGTGACCCTGCCTTGGTTGGACCGAATGGGATTCTTTTGGATCTTGCCCTATTCTCTAATGACCAAATTTGAAGGCCATGCCTTTGTTGAATTCACGCACATCCTTCCTGGAGCGCTTTGGGTAGCATTGATTCCTTTTCAGCTACATCCCACTTGGAGAAACAACCATCGCCAACTTCACAGAATCCTGGGCTATTTGTTTGTGGCAACGTCTCTGTCCATTTCCGGAGCCATCTTTGTTCTGCAATACCAGAAGTTGACCTTCGATTATCATGCTCCATTTGACACGCTGCCACCGCGCATGGTGGATACAATACAAATCCCAATGACTTGGCTGGTTACGTTTTGGTTTGGCGGAACCGGAGTGCACGCAGTTCGATTGGCTCGGACAGGAGACTACCAACAGCACCAAGTCTACATGCTGCGCCATGTAGCAGCAGGCCTCTGGGTCTCGACACAGAGAAACATTATATTTCCACTCGTCCAGTTGGTCCTGAGAATGTTCTTGGAAGAAGTTCCCAATTGGCTGCGACGAGAGCTCTTTGGTGGGACAGCAAATCTGGCAATGCTCACGACAGCTGCGATGGCGGAGTTCGTCATTTATCGCATTTCCAGACTCAGGTCCCAAACGAAAAAGAATGCATAGTATCCCACTGCAGAACAGCAAGAAACTCAAATGCACAGTTGGGCTGGGTCAGGGCAGCTGGCTCCTTGGGTCTATGGAGATAGACCGCGATTGGGTCGAAAGAGAGTGGGCCCAGTAGTTGGTTTGGGGGTAGTATCTACAGCCAGGGATAGGTTCAGGATTGCTGTACTTGTATAGTACGGTAGGGCCAATGGTTCTTTTGGTAGCTGTTTTGAGCAGAGCCATTTTCACAAGAGCTAGCTAGCTGCAGCTCTGGGTCTACCAGTAAGAACTAACCTGCTGAATGTGAAGAAAGGTATCTGAACTTTTCAGTACATGTGCATGTGCACAAAGTACCGGTACATGTCAGTGTACCGGTAGTTGCTCCCGTCCATTCAGTGGTACGAATACGGACACACACCTACCGTCGGCTACACATGTTATAGTACAGTACGGTAAAGGTTGGCAAAGGCAAAATCATTTTCACGTTTTACAGAAATAGTTTGGCAAAACCAGCTTTTTTTACCTGGATTGATGGCGTGGAAAAAGTTTTTCAGTTCCGCAAAAGATACGTTTGGAGCCCCCCGAGCCTCATTCCACCACAACTTTGCTTCGATCACAACACGCAGCGCAAGAAATTGCCGTGGACAATGATGAAAGTGAAAGCAGCAGCCGTCTCACCAACTACCCGTACCAATGCAGGGAACGAGCTACTAGACACACCTGGTGTCTACTGCAACCCATCCAATTCATTTGATAGAACAGGATCCCTTTTCAATTTGTCAGAATTAGGGCAACTCTCGCCTAGAGAAATCGATGCAAGAATCATCGACGTCAACGAAGATGAAGAACAAGGTTTCGAAGCTGTCCTTGACCCGAGCCGGTTTGCAAAGTTTCAGGATATTTCATTAACTGCGAGTTCCCACACGCAGGAGGATGACAACGTGACGCTCTATGGCAAAGAAAAGTTGCAACGAATTGTAGACGATGAAAAAATCAATAGTATAAACAAGCGAGACTTAGTGTTCAAACTTCTCGAGACGATGAGTATTAAAACGTTCATTGTAGTATCAGGGAGTGAAGATAATACAGCCGAACTCTTGCAACGTGTCCGCGACGTGATCGATTTCATCGCTATCCTAAGGCGAACCCGTGCAAAGCGGACGCTCAAGTGCTGCATACTCTTTCAAGACTTTGATGGTCTTTTGTACAACCTGGTCCTCCCAACAGAGGCCATTGGTACCCATCAAACATGGCATTCCAACATGAACGAATTTTCAGGTGTTGTGGCCGTGAGCGCACTATCTGTTCTCTCTAGAGTTTGTCCTTGCCTCATTGGTGAGTTCTTCTTTGGTTTTGATGGGTCAATTGCTTACGGTAAAATACACCACTAACATCAGCGTTCATTCCTTGGGATTTCCTCACCTAGCTGGGCAAATGGGAAGTGTGCAACCAGCCTACTGGGGGTTTATGCTCGCTTTGCTAGTGTCGGAAGAAATGTCATTGTCATTTCTCAACTCGTCGCTTCTCATTCAGGGCATGCCCTCGATCTCATCTTACGTAATGATAAATGGGGAAGGGTACGATTGGATTCATAAATTGCCTATTGCTTGCTTCGTTGCTGCTGGGGCAGTTCAAGGTTCTCTGCAACGAGCGTTTGGCATAATCGGAGTCAGTCTTACCTTTGTGGCTATACTGGCCAACCTGGGTTCTAGGGCTTGGCATTTCCTACAATTCAGAAAGGTCTCTTTCGGTGGACCGCTGGCACCTCTATTTGCATACATCATATCTGTGTTGGCCGGTCTGTGTTTCCCCCATATGGGTGGATGTCGCAAGATTGAAGAAGGAGATGAAGTGGCTGCCGAGGCTGTGTTGAAAAGCGCTTTTGGAGCTTGTGCTCTGTTCCTGCTTTCAGACTTGGATAGTATCCAGAGGCTACTTCTGGGAGGCACAGAGGTACGTAAGACAAACAAATGTGGTCAACTGCACAGCAGGTAGATACAAGAAGGGCTGTAGCTCTCAGATGTTTTTTCTATTCTATTCAATTCACTGCTACTAAAGAAGTGCGACCAAACTATTTTGAACATTGCTATGGGTTCCTGGATTGGATTGACTTTGCTCGTCAACTTGTTTCTGGCAACCAAACTCCAACTTCCATCTGCTTCAAAAGAAAATCACCACGATTTGGTCCTCACTGAAGATCCACGTTCCCCCGTTGGATACAGAGTTCCTGCATTCCCTGAATTCTTGATAGACCCAATCAGAGCCAAAAAGAGCATTTCTTTCTTAACTTTGGAGCAAGAGATGTATTTTGCTGTCTTTGTCGCAATGACAATGATGGGTGTGATTGTTTCAATGGCGTTTACCGGTTGGAGCAAAACAGCAGAGGAGGCATTGATTGGTATCCTAAAGTAAAAGTGGCGTTTTGCATGGAGTTTGTGGCTGCTACTAGCTAGCTAGCTAGTAGCTACTGTAGACTACAGTGTCACGGTGACAGGGGGTAGAGAGGACTACATACAGCCTGTGCATATGAACAGGGAGAAGCCCGCAGATTGAGAGCAAGGCCAGCCATTTTTTTGGCCGAATTCAAAAACGTCCATTTCCTGTCAATCGAACAGGATAGCGCGCCTGTTCAATTGCACAGGGCTGCCTGTTCATATGTACAGGAGGCTGTACATATACAGGAGCTCGACGTCCTGTTCAAATGCACAGGAAATGGACGGCCTGCCTGTTCATATTTACAGGAGGCTGTACATATGTATGTACAGGAGCTCGACTTCCTGTTCAAATTCACAGGAATTTTGACGTTTTTTTCTGGGTAGGCTTCTCATTACTCAACAGTAACAAATAGATCTGCCATTACGTTCAGCATTACATCAAGCATGTCCTCTGCGTTAGTCAAGCTGATGATCAAATATAGGGACATTTTTCTACCCGACCCTAAATAAGGGACGGTTTCGAAAACCGTCCCTATTTTAGGGTCGGTTTCGAAACCTGACCCTAAAGGAATCCGACCCTAATCCGACCCTATTTTAGGGTCGGTTTCATGCACGATTGAGGAACGCTCCTGCTATCTCGCAGGCTGAGGTATGGACGTCTCCACCTGTAATCATTCAAGTAGCCGGCTCTCTCAAAGACGATGGAGACAGAAAGGAAATCAATCTTATTCCAACACTCGTCACAATACTTGCAACCGATCGGAGCCCAACACTGTATTTGCACTGGCTCCCAAAGGAATTCTCTACCAATACTGCTGAGTTTCGCACTAAAATGCTTGCACTAAAACGCTTGCACCATATTTTGTCAACACTTGTCGTGCTTCTGGCTTTGTTGTACGACTCAGGGGTTTCGGAAATCAAAAGATATTGCTGCCTTCAACCAGCATGCAGAAGCACGTCAGATTTCCTGTGCAATTGAACAGGAGGTCGGATCTGTACAATTGCACAGGAATCACGTCGATCCTGTACAATTGCACAGGAATCACGTCGATCCTGTACAATTGCACAAGAATCACGTCGCCTGTACAATTGCACAGGAATCGCGTCGCCTGCCAGGCCAAAATTTGACTGCAGGCTGGCTCTCTAAAAATCCTGTTCATATGCACAGGCTGTATGTAGTGCTCTCTACCCCTTGTCGTACCGGTACTATGCTAACATGCTAACATACTTGCTAGTACCTTGCAAACATGAGCTAGCAATCCGCCAAGTGCAGTTCTCTGCCAAGTTGAAGAAAGAGGGGCTCTTGGAACGTCTGCGAGAGGCACTAAAAACAGAAGTCAAAGTGAGAATATTTGGGGATGTCATTCGCAAATCAGAGAAGAAGAAAGACAAAAGGAAGAACGACGATTTGTCTGAATTCGCTCCTGGGTCCTACTGGGAGCCATTGAACCCAAAAGAAGAAGCCGTGGAGGAGCCAGAGAACACAATCCGCAATGCAAGAGCCCCCACTGTGCCCGCAGATGAAGCAGGAAGTGTTCCGGTCAAGCACAATTTCGCAGAGACTTTTGACCGACCTATCTTCACAGGCAAGAGGACAGTACCGAAGTATCATTCGAATGGCAAACGAATTATGCAAGAGGGTAGACAAGTCAACGAAAGTGTCATGAGAGAACATCTGTCACTTCGACAGGAATTCTTGCGCAAGAACAAGCTTACCCAATACTCAGATCCTGTGGAGTATGCCAACGCCTTTCTTCCTTGGGACGAAAACCTTCACGACCCCAAGTGGCTCAGCATTTCCAAGCTGACAACATTCACCAACATGAAGGCGCAGCTTAGTAATGCCGGTGATGGGGGCACATGTTATCGTGACTTCAAGCCGTTCAATGTGAAAGAGATTCGACAATTCCTTGGCTTGTATGTTTTGAATGGATTGAGTCCGTCACCAAGGATTGAAATGAAGTTCCAACCACAACACATGGACCGCGTTCAAGGCAGCGACTACGTGCAACAGAACCTTCCACCAAATGCCACAAGAAGATTCCGGCATTTCAAAGCTTTCTTTGCCTGTCAAGATCCAAGGAAGATGCCACCAGCAAGGAAGGTATCGCCTTTGTTCAAGGTGTCACCAGTGGTGAAGTGGATGAATTTCATTGGTCACAACGCCGTACTCATTGGAATGAATGCAGCTGTGGACGAACAAACAATCGGCTTCCAAGGACGACACGTCGACAAGCTACGGATTACATACAAGGCAGAAGGCGATGGATTCCAGTGCGATGTTCTTTGTGAGGAAGGATTTACTTATGCTGTGTACTTTCGAAACGAACCACCACCGGCAAAGTACATTCGACAGGGCTTCTCTCCTTTGCATGCAAGAGTTCTTTGGCTGTTTGACCAGCTGCGCGACAACTACCATCGCGTTTGGATGGACAACCTTTACCTGTCCGCCAAGTTTGTTAAGGGATGCTACAACCATGAACGCAAGGTTTTGATTGCTGGTGTCACTAGAAAGCAGGGGCGCGGAATACCACTGTCCGTGCTACAGGAAGAAGTCATGAGAAAGTCTGAACAAGAACAAGTCCGCGGAACAGTCAAGGTTTCTGTCTTGAAGGGAGATCCTCATTGTCCTGACTTGGTGGCTGCAAGCGTTTATGACACCAAGCCGGTACACTTCTTATCGATGATTGCTCCATCGATCCAGTGGGTTAAGAAGGAACGGCAAGTGTACAATGTTGACAGTGGACGTGTGGAGAAGATGGGCTTTCTACGATTGAACATCAACGATGACTACAACAACGACATGGGACATGTGGATGTGTCCGATCAACTGAGAAACTCCTACCGTTTCGATCATTGGTTGCAACAGTGGAAGTGGTGGTGGTCCATCTGGAATTGGGCATTTGGTGTCTTCCTGGTAAATGCGTTTGTTGTGTACAATCAGGTGATGGAAGAAGCCAACGTTCCCAAGAAACACCGACTGACTCACTACGCCTTTCGCGAAAAGATTGCTCTACAGTGGATCAAGAGTGACGAAGTTTCTATTCGACAGAGGCAGCGAGATTCCGAGCAACGACAAGAGGAAAGAAGCGGAGCAGTGAAAGCTAGACTTGGTGGTGACCGGTCGGAAGCAACAAGAAAGCGAGCTACCATGACAAACCCAAACGACAATAATCAAAGGAAAAGACGAAAGGTGACTCCTCCCCACAAGACAAGAGGGCAAATGGAAATGGTGGACACAAAAGGGAAGGCACATACACTTACTGATTCGACAATTGCAAGTCCTTCCGGTCCTCTGGCAAAAAGATGTGACCGCTTTCTCAGACACTTTCCAGTCAGATCCAACAACACGAGGCCCAAGTGTGCTGTGCATAGGTGGGCGGCAGACATGGAAGAGAAGAAGGACGTCTACCGGTGCTGCGTCTGCGAGATCCATCTATGCATTGACTGCTTTCCGGTTTTCCATTGTAAAACCAATCTACTTGAACACAAACAGACTTTGCGGGATCAGCTTTTGGCAAAGAAAGAGGACAAAAAAGCAAGCAAACAACAATCCAAGCCATCCTCTAAGAGTAGCTAATGTCATAGTAGTGTTGACGCATTGTTGCAACCCATTGCTACTGTTGTTGTAGTACATGTTTGTGTGCCAGAACGAAATTTCGCCGAATTCTCGTTTTTGGCCATGAAAAGATACCCGTGTTCGTTCGATGTCATTAAAAGCCCCAATATCAATACTGAGCTAGGGAACCATCAACAAACACAACAACAACACATCCATGTCGCCGGAGTAGACAGAGGAGCCATCCTCCGGTCGCAGAGTGGAGATAATAGCAGCAGAGATGCGCGATGACACCCTGCTAGTAGCCAACATAACCGTTCTCTATCATTATTAGGCCTAACAAGCTATTTAAACATGAGCTAGCAATCCGCCAAGTGCAGTTCTCTGCCAAGTTGAAGAAAGAGGGGCTCTTGGAACGTCTGCGAGAGGCACTAAAAACAGAAGTCAAAGTGAGAATATTTGGGGATGTCATTCGCAAATCAGAGAAGAAGAAAGACAAAAGGAAGAACGACGATTGCTGGCTCTCTAAAAATCCTGTTCATATGCACAGGCTGTATGTAGTGCTCTCTACCCCTTGTCGTACCGGTACTATGCTAACATGCTAACGTATACTAGCTACCGGTAGTACTAGTACCTTGCCGTACGGTACTTTAGCCGTGGCGTGGAAACAATTCAGTTCATTTTCCCCTTCGCGCATGGCGATGCCAATTTGTAGTTGGGAGCCATTTCAAACCGTCCACAATAATTTCTCCTCACAAAACTTCGATTGAAATCATCCTTGATGTTTTTGTAGTTTGACCATGACGACGGTCTTCCCCAACTTTCCCTATTCGCTCGAAGATGGTACGTTATTGAACAAGCATTTTGTGACTGTCTCTAGAGTGTCCTGCCCTCGGAAAATGCTGATGTTGATTGTTCTTGTTGCATCGTTGTCGATTGAGTCCAGCACCCACCGAGGATTGGACGGTGGAAGAAGTTCTGCAATACTGCTTGTTGCAAGCGCACAAGGAGACCGAAACAAAGTATCAACACATTGAAACATCGCTCAATCAACAGCTAGAGAAAGGAAAAGAAGGCATTTGGCAGTGTCATAAGAAAGTGCTAGAGGCTGGCAAGAGCAACAGCCCAGTCAACCCCTCTTCGGGCAATACTCCAGCCGGCACAAAAAAGCCAGACCCCAAGCCGCAGAAAAAGACGGCGACGCCCACGACAGTCGAAATAGTTATTGTTGGAGGCCATTATGCTGGAAACACGCACAAGCTAGTGCCCAAAGTGAGGCATCCTTGTTGGGTTGGCCGTTCTCAAGGAAAGAAATTCAAGGATCGGGGCATCAGCTTGGCAAAAGACCTGGAAATATCCACCACACATGGGAAATTTGAATTGAAGCAGGGAACCTTGTGCTACACAGACACTGGATCCACCAATGGATCCAAGTTTCGAGGTGAAGACCTAGAAGCTGACAAACCCCTTCCTCTAGAAACTGGCATGGAATTGACGCTCGGACAATCTGTCCTGAGAATCACTCTCTCTTGAACAAACACAACAATCTGCATCAATCACAGCATCACAACATTCGCAGAGTAGTCTAGCACTAGTTGATTTTATGGTGGGGTCCAACCAGGTGTCACGACAACCTACCTGCTGACAAGAATGGAGCCGCCGACAAACACTGGCCACACACAGACGACAGTTTTTCTAACTAAACTATTAGCGAGACACTATTTTTCTTTTACAGAAGTTCTGGTTTTCCCAAACACAGCCGTACTAGTACCGCGTTTTCTCGATCATTGCAACTGCCAATTATGCGAATTAGTCGTTCTCGCTCTCATGAAGCTGCACCTTCCGTCAAGTCTCCATCCGCTTGAATTCTCATTCCCTCGTCAAAAAACTTCGTTATTGAGACGTCCTCTGATAATCCTTTTCTCCGCCTTGTTTTCAGCAAAAGTTCTCGTGCAAGGTGCATCGGTGGGCTCGGCTCCAGGGGATGAAGGATGATGTTTCGATCCAAAGGATCGCCAGGTACTGTTGCCCAGTGGTCAAACACCGAGAACACCATCGCTTGGCCTTGGGAAAACGTTCGAAGGTCAGTTTCAAAACCAAAACTGTCCAACAAGGGGAGGAAACCTGTGACACGCGAGAAGAGCGACCCAGGGATAGGCATTTCGCGTACAATGTGTCCACGCCTTCGTGTCAAGACTGGTTCTATCGCGTTCACAATTTCCCCCGGACACTGAATCTGCAATCGGTAGACTGGTTCCATGAGCCTTGGCGTTGCCGTCAGAAGTGCTGAGTGCACGGTCTTGCGGGTTGTTGGGATCACCTGCCCACCACCACGATGCACAGGCTTGTCGGCGAGCACCGCATCCAGGATCTTTAGTTTGGTGGCACGAACTGGCTCCTCGCAGAGTGGGCCTTCTCTTGTCGCCCACTGGAAGCCCTGAACAATACTTGATTTGCACGATGTAAGAAGTCCCTTATTGACTTCGCTCGGTAACGTATCATCGAGCAACAAGTTTGTACCGTGAGTCGGTGAGTCTCCAAACGCCCAAACGGAGCGAGATGACAATAGATCCCAATCGTATTGTGTTTGATAGAATCTACTAGTCTGTATCATCGAAATGAAAGAACCATGAGGAAAAAAAGGCTGGTCTCTGATCCTGCGAAACACGCCAATCAAATGTATGGTCAAAGCAACTTACTTTCTTGGCGTTCCACAGCGGATTCACTTTCCCGGTCTCCAGGCGTTCCGCCAACCCGTCGTCCAGAGGCTCCGCGATCAGTGTAAGCTTGTTCCTCTTGTTCGCCGTCTGTTCAACGAAACCAAGAAGGGTGAGAAACTACGCAACTGGTGTGTCGATTTTGCAGCAATCCCAACCACTGACCTCGGCAAAACACTTGATGCTACTTGTTTCGGCCACAGTTTCACGCAATGACACAGCAGGATCTGACAGCTTCACTTCCAGCTCCGAGTAAAGATGCCTCAGGTCGCGCATGACGCAATCCAAGTACAATTCGCCAGTTCCTAGAAGAACATGTTCCCCGCTCTCTTCCACTCTCGTCTTCACCATTGGGTAAGCTTTCGATACGCGACGAAGACCCTCCACCATTTTGGGCAGATTGGATGGAAGAAGCGGCTCAATGGCTAGCTTCATGACCGATTCCCCACCAGCCTGTGGGAACTTTAATGGTGCAAAAATTTCCATATCCTCAGCATCTGCTTCGGCACCAATGATTGTTGCCGTTTTGGAAATGTTGGCGTCGACCCCATGAAGCAGCACCCAGTTCCCAGCCTTGGCCACAGTCACTTCTAAGCGATGACGGCCACGTGGAATCGCCACTGCTTCACAAGTAGCGATTGCCATGTCCTATATCAGTGACAACAGTGCAGGGCACGCACATATTAGCGCACAAGAAACAAGAACCTTCCGACGATTTTTGCAACCATGAACTCATGAATTTGCAGCGCTTACCTCATCATCCTGTGAGGAATATCCTTCACCAAGTACTTTGACTTTGTCACCAGGCTTGATTGTACCAGAATAGATCCTTCCAAAGGTGGAGAAAGTTAGACCATCCGCCGACGCATACATTTTAGTACAATGTACCACGAGAGGCCCTCTGGGGTCGCACTGGATCATAGACTTGGCAATGCTGGTATCTGTAGACCCCGTATAGCAACGCGCAACCTTGCCATTGGCGGCAGCTGCAGGCGACGGTCTAATGACAAAACAAAAGCATGAGCACCGACATGCCAACAAATAAATCAAGTCAAAATGAAGCGAACAGCCAATCAGAAAATTGCTGTACCGTACGTACATGTGACGAGCAATCATGTCGACAAATCCACAACTGGCCGTTCGCAGAAACTGCGAAAGCGCCGACCGCAGCAAGGGACGGCCACTGGCCCGTAATTCATCTTTCGACAAGAGCACTCCCACACTTCGAAGAAGCTTGCTGACATCGGCCTCTCGTCCACCCAAACAAGCCGAGTAAATCTTGTAGATTGGTTCCAGAATATACGTGACAAATGTTCGTTCCACGTTGGTGGCATTGCAATCTCGCGCTGCGCGGTGAAATCTGCGTGTGGAAGGATCCAAATAGCAATCTCCCCAGAGCCGGTGTGCGAATTCTTCCACAGACAAATTGTCGCCTAATCCGTGATCATTACCATGGTCCAAGTAGGTTGCTGCAAAGGAGGGCAGAGTAAAGAAGAAACCATGTAGCGCGGAAGCAAATCCCACATTTCCCAGCCCGGGCGCCAATTTGGGATATCGTTTCATGGAAACTTCTTGAATGAGATCGTTCATTTCCTCCACCAAGTAGAGCAGTTTAAAATATGCATCTCTGGGTGGCAGTTTGGCTTCGACAATGAGTCTATCCAGTTTGGAGATGACCATTACAATGGGCAATCCCTCGGCAATGGCCTGTCGGACTGCCATTTCGGTGTGCATCATGATGCCCTCGACGGCATCGACAACGACCACGGCTCCGTCTGTAATTCGTAGCGCCGCGACCGTTTCATCATGAAAATTGGGATGTCCAGGACAATCTACCATGGTGAAGCAGTAAGTTTTTCCTCGTGTATCTGGGAGCAATGTGGATATGGGTGTACTGACAAGACTCATTTGTCGTTCCTGTTCACTTTTATGAATGTCGAGATAGCGAGGACCTCCTCCTTGGTTGACTTCTAGGGATGCTCTTGGTCCCCATGGCTTTCTTAGCGTGAGTTCCAATAAGAAGTCAATGAGACATGTTTTTCCATGATGCAAATGTCCGACCAAGGCAATTCCTCTTCTGGTTCTGGTGGTATCATTGGATAAAAGTACCGTTGTCAAGTAATCTTCCGTGTAGATCCAGTCCTCTGGCTCTGCCACCACAGTTTCGGCTCGATCACTCCTTGTTTTGACGGGTTCTACAATGGGAGTTTCAATTTCCATGGCATCTTCATCCAAGACGGTGGTTCGGACATCTTCTCCATAGACTTGCTCGGCCGATAGGTAATGTTCCTTATCTTCGTGCAAGACGACGGCACTCATGGGATCCGCCGTTTCTTCCTGCTGATCATCTCGAACCACTACAGCATTGGTTTCTTCATTATCGTCCGACACATCCGATGCATCATCGGGTTTATCACCCTTGGCTTGATCTGCTACCACGGATTCTTCCTCGTCGTCGTCTTCCTCTTCGGAAGATTCCAAGTCCGGTCCAATGTAGTTGCCAAACTCATCATACAGGTCTTCTTCGTTATCTGACATCTCTCTGCTATATTACTAGCTAGACTATTGGGTAGATGGTAGGTTGGGTTGGCCGATCTGTTCGATTGATGTTGTGGAGAGGTGATTATTGACGGGTGCGGTGGCAGTGTATCTTATTATTGCTGTTGCCGTTTTGTCGCGATCGTTGTGGCGTCTCAAAAAATGGAAGGCTTTGAAGCACAGCTGTCTGAGTGACTAGCTCACGAAGGATCCTTAGAAAGGTCCTCTGCTCTCCAAAATAATATTTTAAATAGTTTTGCGCTTCCTCACGTCTCGATGAGGTCCCCGTTGGCTGCCGACAACAACGATTTTTCTCCCAGAAGCAGTGCTGAGAGCGTTATGAATTGAAAACACCGCCAGGCACTGATACTACAGTACAGTACATGTATATCATCGTTGTAGATGCGCCATATGATTGATTAGAAGAATCCCAAAAGCAACTGTTAATGATTGAAAGAATCTCCACTATACAACGGACGGACGCGAGAGACGAGAAGAAGAATAAATTTGTTGCATTATGGCGGAGCATCCGCAAGAGACACCCAACCACAATAGTGAGCCACATCAGGATGAGGATTCGTCTTTGGTGAATGAGGTTGTCGCGACGCCATGCCATAATAAAAGCGGTGGACGGTCGCATCCCTGGACACCGACACTCAGGGGTGCTTCACTGCTGAGTACTCTGCTGTTTCTCAGCTTGGCTCTTTCACAGGCCAAAATCCAGACCGCTTCCTCTACGGCATCCGAGGCTGCAGTTCAGCAAGCCAACCGACAGACTGCTCCAGTAGATCCTCAACCATCCCTCCAAATCTCCATGGATGATTTCATTTCGATTGGTGATGACGATGACGATGAAATCGACTTTGCCGATTTGGGCGACGACTCTGACAGTCACTCGAGCAGCTCCAACAACAATGACAATGACAGCAGCAATAAACGAAAAGAGTTGATCATTGTGGCAGCTGTAGATGGTACCATTGCCGCTGTGGATAAGGAAACTGGAAAAGTCCTTTGGAAACAAAATGGAGGAGGCTCCTCCATTATGGCTCATCCGGACGAAACAGAACCACAAAACATGAAATTGCCGCGCCATTCGACAATTCACAATCGAGAGGAAAAATTGCTCCAACCTCTCGTCACCACCACGACAACCGCCAGTTCTTCCAAGAGAACAACCACTACCACTACTTCGACGGCGGCCATTCCGTCCATTGATGGCAGTGTCTTTTTGACCACCACAGTAGAAGCTCCCAACGACACGTCCGTCACACGGACCGATACAGCGTCGGTACGAGAGCTCGTCGATCGGGCACCCTATGTCGATCCACACGGGAGATTCTACGTGGGATCGAGACAAACCACCGTTGCGGCACTCGATGGAGACACGGGCGAAATACTATACGTTGCTTCGGCCGACGATGATGGAATGATGATGAAGGACGATCCTCAATGGGAAGGACGAAACATTATCTGGATCGGAAGAGTCGATTACAAAGTTTCCGTCTATAATGCCAAATCCAGCCACAAAGAAGTACAATTCTCCGCTTCCGAAATTCTATCGGTCAATGATATGGTCATGGGAAGGAGCAAGGCATTTCGACGACGACAACAACAACAAAATGCCGTGGGGCTCATTGGCGACAAGGAAACATCGCCCTTTTCTGACCACGATGACAATGACGACGACGAGGAATCCGCACTCGTGGCGACTCCCAGCGGAAATCTTGCCTTTCGAAACCGAAACACGGAAACAGTCGAGTGGGTGGCCGATTTGGCGTTTGACGCACCCATTGCCTATGCGATTCATTCGTCCTCGGGGCAATCAATGGATGTGGACATTATTCCCGACGTTACAAACCCAGCCAATTCCAAAGAGGAGTACCTTCGAAGTGAAATTGAACGACAAATTGAATTGACTCTACTGCAACCGCTCGATAATAGCAAGCCAGGGATCGATGACCAGTCGTGTGATTGTCATGGAGCACTGGACAGAGGAGCCTCGAATCCATCCATTGTAGGAGTGCTTCTGAATGGACAATTGTACTCCATGCCGTTAGGGAGACCAACATCTGTACTGCCATCGCACGCGTCTTTGGCGACCACACGAACCCAAGCAGACCATGTTCTGTTGGATGTCACCGCTACTAGCAGCACTGGGGACAATCAGCAATCAGCGCACTCGAATTCTGGGCGCGGCGAAGGCCGAGGGCTAGCCCGATGGATCCCACTCGGTGGTGGTCGAGGATCACGACGAGAGGACGAGAAGCAGCTTCCCATGAATAGTGGCAATTGCAGACCTTCTTCCGTGGCATTTCCGGGATGTTTGTTCAAAGCTGTGTCGCAAGGAACGTTTGGCTTTTTGCCGAGGAGGAATAAACGCGGTAGCAGCAATAACGAGATTCCTGACGGTGCCCATTCCGAAAGGCAGAATGCACAAGACGTTGCGATTGAAACGTACCATGCTCCTATCGAATTTGGCTTTGCGGAGACTCCGAATAATCAGCACGAACACGACAACACGTCCCAGCAGCAGCGAAAGCGCAAACGAAACTATCGCCTTTTGAAAATCTTGGGATCCTGGTTACCCCCAACCATCGCATTAATCTTCGTTGTATCGTTTGAGTTGGGACGTCGCAAGAGACAAAAGGATAATCTCGAACTCAATGAGGGGGACGAAATTGCCAATTCTGCGAATCAGAAAAAGGACGAGTCCAACGTAATACAGATCACAGATCAGCTGTTGGGTCTCGGCTCCAATGGAACTCAAGTTTTCCGTGGGACCCTGGACGGCCGTCTTGTTGCTGTCAAGCGTATCCTCAAAACATACGTTGCCAGTGCCGACAGAGAGATTTCTTTGCTGATTGAGAGTGATGGGCATCCCAATGTCGTGCGATACTTCTTGAAAGAAGTCAAGGGGGATTTCGTGTACTTGGCTCTCGAGTTGTGTGACCTGTCCTTGAATAGCTTGATTGGCACGCTTGGCGCCAAGGTCCTCTCAGAAGGCGGGAGCGAATCCTCGTATTACAAAGATGCCACGGACGCGACAAAACGCATCTTGCATCAAATAGCAGCTGGTGTGAGGCACCTACATTCCCTCAGAATCGTTCACAACGATCTGAAACCTGGCAACATTTTGCTGGCAGCCTCCAAAGAGGCGAAAGCACCCGACTCCACTTCGAATGAATCAATCTACAACAACTTCCAGTTGGGATACTATGTGGCTAAGATATCTGACATGGGACTAGGAAAACAGTTGGTGGGTCAAAGTAGCTTTGGAGGGTGTCCGTCCTCGTTTCGCGGACAATCAGGTCCTTTGGCGGCGAATGGCAATGTGGGAATCGGGACAGTGGGTTGGCAGGCCCCGGAGGCAATGAGACTTAAGTCAAGCGCCTCGGTTACTTCCGATGCAAGCCAATCTGGGGATTCGTCCTCGCTTGGCAGGCCTGAAGGAAGCAGTGCAAGGGCGAGCCGTTCGGTGGACATCTTTTCCCTCGGCTGCATCTTTTACGCTACACTTGTCCCTGGTTCGCACCCTTTTGGCGAATATTATGAACGTGAGGCCAACATTGTCCACAACCGTCCTAGCATTGAAGCCTTGATGTCGCTGTCTGTCGAGGCCTACAATTTGGTATCCGCTATGATTCAATACAACCCAAGGGTAAGACCTACCTCCGAGCAGGTCTTGCAACATCCTTATTTTTGGTCTCTACCACAGAGGTTATCTTTCCTTGCGGATCTTTCGGATCGGTTAGAAACTGATTCGGGAGCCTCGACAACGACGTCTGAGTTTGGGTTTGCTGTGAACCCACTTGCAATTGAACGCAACGCCACCCAAGTAGTCGGCTTGGCTTGGGATAGGGACTTGCTCAAGGGTCTTACAGAACAAAAGTACAGGACTTACGACCCTTGCAGCGTTCGTGACCTTCTCCGTCTTATTCGAAACAAGAAAAACCACTTCCAGGACCTTGACTTGTCGGTTCGTCAGAAGATCGGATCGAGTACTGATGGGCTGATGATATACTTCGAGTCTTCTTTTCCACACTTGCTCATGCACTGCTACAAGGTGTGCTGCGAGGTACTGCCATCGGACGACCCTCTTGTGGAGAAATACTTCCTGACGTCTGCAAACTACCGAAAGCCAAAGACATACAGGGCTCCAAGTTACGCCCCGTCGAAATCAATTTCGCTGTCCGAAACGGTCGAGTGCGACGTCGTTGAAGACAATCCTGCCAAAGAAGTCGTCAATGGTACCGAGCACAAGACTGACGAAGGGGGATCGTCGAAAGATGAAGATATGGAGGCATTGAACGCCGCGACATTGAATTCAACATCGGACAGCAACGGTGCACTTGTGGACGAACAGGTTTCCATTACCAAGAACGAAACATCGAACGAGTTGATGGATGAGCCGGACGAGCAACCCTCCGCTTCCTCCGTGGACATTTGCAGCCCCCTCGAGTCCGCAGATTCCTCCGACGTTGCTGAAGAGATTGTTGAAGAGCCGCCTCCAGTACCACCAGTCAAGCCCGAGCCCGCTCTCCAACAACCCAATCTGCCTCTTGTGGACATCAATATGAACAATGACGTTATCCTGTGGCAGGGGAGCACCGCCACCAAAGCGATGAACTGCAGGGGATGGATGAGAGGCGACGAAGACTGGACTTGCCGTACCGACGGTACCAAGAAGCGAAACGCCGCCTTGTCGCGATGTGCTCAAGACCCCAAGTTTCGGACGAGGCTTTGCAACCACTGGGATATGAGTTTTGGGACAAGCTGCCCCATGCGAAGAAAGGGCAAGTGTGTCTTCGCGCACGGGCCAGTTGAGCTGAGAATCAAAGAAGGAAAGAAGAACCGCTGGGGAAAGCTGGTGGACAAGAATGGAAACAATTCCAATCCAAACAGTGCAGGAGGGGAAGACACGTACGGGGCTGCTCGCTCCATTGAAAGTGTCAGAAAGGATGAAGGCAAGTGGAACAACAGCAACAATAAATCAAAAGGTGGCGGCAAAAAACAATCCTCGAGCAAAAAGAAACCAGCAAAGTCGTCTGGTGGGGGCAAATCGTAGTGGCCAACCACCAGTGATCACAATCATTGCAAAAATATTATGGACAACAGCTACCGGTAACCCGGACCTTCTAGCTCTTCCCAGTGTCTTCTAGCTATTTAGTAGTATTGTCAGCAGCAGTTGGTGTTTACCGTTTCAGCACAGTGCACCAGTACCGGAACCCACAATGATTTCCTTTTGCGTTGTTTTATTACAGTTTGTTCACGCAGCAAGTTCAAGAGTGGAGGTTACTCTACACGGAGTTTTGCCACAAAAGAGCTACTCGCTCTAGTTTGTTGTAGACAGCAAATGGCGATATTTGTCTTCGGTTTGTTGTTTCGTGGTGGAAGCGTAAAGTTGGTTCGTTTTACCTGGGCAGGTAAACTGCCTGAGTTCTCAACCCCTTTAACCTCGGCAGGTAAACTGCCTGAGTTCTCAACCCCTTTAATGCTATTTCCTATTTCCTATTTTCTATTTCCTATTTCCTATTTCCTATTTCCTATTTTCTATTTCCTATTTCCTATTTCCTATTTCGTCTCATGGAGACGACGCACCTTTTAGTTACCCCCTCAGTTGCACTCTGAAATCGATTCGCTCGCGTTTACTGTGCAAATTAGTGTACCCGCACTTCAGTTGCAGAATCAACGGTCATGTGCTTCGAAAGATTTAGATCGATTCGTGGATAAAAAGAACCGTTGAAGTTACTAAGGTTAAGGATAAACCGATCGGAGCGAAAGTCCATTATTGAAGGCGCAGCACCGACTTCTCTCCCTCATTGAATTCGTATGGTAAATAGGAGGTAAATCCAAGCTTGACCGACAACAATGGTGAGTGCTTTATCCAATCGGCCGATCGATCGAATCGATTCGAGGTAAGCCTATTATCAAGAGTGTTAATTGAAGGTGCAGCGCTGACTTCTCTCCCTCATTGGATTTCTATGGTATTCAGGAGATAAATCCGAGCTTGACCATCAACAGGTGAGTTGTTTTAATTATTCGAATCGAGTCGGTCGCACCTCTATTATCTCTACTATCAAGCCTCACTCAAGCCGGCTGTCTCTGGTGCAGATTCGAAAGCCATCCCTCATTGAAATGAATCCTATGGACCATGGGATGGCAGTCAGTTCTCGAGCCATGACGGCCAAGTTGGAGAATTTTGAAAGCAAGGGTAAGTCGCCGGTTTTCTTCAGTGTCAGAATAGAAGAGAAAACCATAGCTATTTCTTACTTTCTCTTCTCTTACTGCTGACGGCCGGCGAACTACTATTGTCAGTTCCTTTTCGGTCGCTCCGGGACAACAAGAGGAGAGGTTCGATCGATCGCTACAAACAAGAGGATGCTCTGTTAACTCCAGCCCTATCACCGGCCTGAACATCGTCGAGTCTTTGAATGGAAACAGTCGTCAACCGAGGAGGAGGCTATCGACACACGACAACAACAAGAGAGGGATTCCTCCACCGGATTCATCCCTTCTTATTATTTCCTACTGTTTTTGGTGTGTGATTCCTGTGTCGGTACCCATTTCCTGTATGGCAAGTCAATTACTGTTGCCACTAGCTTACGGCACTGGCTACAATGGCTGGATTATACAATATTCGTTGTGTTTTATTCGTCATAAGGATGCGAGGTAACTGACTGCAGCGAGCAAAGTCGAACCTGAGTGTGTTCGGACACACCAACGACCGGTCCACTCCTCATCCACACACAACACCACGGCTGCGCGTGACCCACTCCACTCGGTGCAGTCATACACCACAGCACACCATCATACGAGCAGTCTACAGTTAGGAGCTCAACACCTGCTCAGACACAGATTACACCAGTTACCAAAGCACACCGACCACTGATCACATCATGAATAGTCAGGACAATCTACGTAGAAGAGTTCAGATTTTATACTTGGCATAGGACAGAAGATGTCGTCATACGGACACGATCATTCATTAGTAGACAATTCATTAGATCGCGTAATGCGATGGGGCCTTATTCTGGAAGAATACGGCTCTGAACTACTGTACATCAATGGCGAACAGATCATCGTCGCTGATGTGTTGTCGAGACTTAACATGATCTCGAACAACGATGGTTCTTAAGAATAGATGGATGCCAGCGAGATTGCTGAGTTCATGGCTGCAGACGAAGTGGACTTCCCTAGTGAGTTTCCTCTCTCGTTCCCTGATATCGAACATCGTCAGAAATACTACAACGATATCAAGAAGAAAATCCTCAGGGACAAGCTAAACGACTACAAGAAGCATTCCCGGTAGTCCTACGAGTTAGTAGTTAAGGACGAGAAGATCGTAGTACCTAAAACTATGCAGATAAAGCTAGTTGAATGGTATCATGGTTTGCTGATGCATCATGGCGAGACTCGAACGGAACTGACCATCAGCAAACACTAAACCTGGAAAGGAATGCGCAAGAATGTGCAGGACGTATGTCAGCGTTGCCAGATCTGCCAGATGAACAAACCCTAGACGCGTTAGCTGGGATTGATGCCCCAAAAGACTTGCGAGGAGATCCCTTGGAAAGACTATGTATTGACCTGATAGGGCCCTACAACTGGGATCCCAAGAAAAAAATTCTGCACACTTCATTGCTTGACAATGTTTGATCCCGTAACCGGATCGTTCGAGATTGCAGAGATCTGCTCCAAGGCACCAGCAGACGAAGTAGCCATCGTCCTAGAACAAACGGGCTTACTCGGTACCATGGCCTGCTGAGGTATCATGGATATAGGACGTGAGTTTCGCGCAGAGGTCGAAAAGACCACTCCGGGATGAATATGGACTTCGTCGCAGTTTCATTACCACCGTAATACCCTCAAGCCAACTCTAAGGTCGAACGTGCTCATCAAACCATAAGCAACTTGATCGCTGTTCAAAAAATCAAGTGCCAAAGCGACTCCTCTGTGGAATGGGAATCCTGTGGAGTCCCAAGGCGGGTTCGCTTATTGCATGATGCACGACCTCACCTTGCGTGCAACGCCCGCACAGCTCGTGTTTCAATCGTGACGCGATTCACAAACGTCCGGCAAGCCAACTGGAAGTACATAAGGAACGTCGCCAACGACTAATCAACAAAACAACGATAGGAAAACGCAACGCGTGTCCTCATCAATACAATGTCAACGATACTGTGAGGTTCCAACAGTATCAGCACCGCAAGTACGGTCAGCCAAAGTAAACAAAAGGTCCTACACTATAGACCGAGTCAATGACAATGGCACTGTACGGCTCAAACAAGCTACCGCCAACGGCGGCACAGTCTACCAGATTTGGAACATAAGGTATATACACCCATACAAGCCCTGATCCCCTTGTAGGGATTGCCATCGGGCGACGCACATGTCTACAACCAAATCCAATGAGAGTGCCCCGCACATTAAATCATATGTTCTCCTTGTCCGACCGCTGTCGCGCCTTCTGTGACCCTTGTCAGGGGGCGAATGCAATACACCGGCTCTTAGCCTTATTCGGCACTCGATCCTAGATAGGTGTTGAGTTCGACTCATGACCAAGTCTCTCGTGAATAGTCATTTGAGTCAGGGTTTTCAATGACCGCGCCAGTCACACTAGGTTGATGATGAACATCGCTCAGATATTTAGCCAGCGTGGAGTACTTTCCCGCTACAGACAGGCTAGACAAACCTTCCACGCGTTCCGGTTTTAGGATCGTGGAGAGACGTAGGATTACTCCTACAACCTACTCTATCACACTTTAATGTCTCCCACGGAGACCAGATCTACGATCCTTTGATGATGATCTCTCTCGTTGATAGTTTTCATAGCTTTCTAAACTCTCTCTCATTAACTTTCATTCTCTCAACTCAAAACACTCGAAAGATCTTTACACTAGCTTTTAGCGTAGTGCCAATGAGTTTGTTTTCTGTGCTCAACTGCAGACGACCGGAGACTTACCATTGTTTTTCAAATTGCACCAACTTGGCCGTCATGGGCCGAGAACTGACTGCCATCCCATCGTCCATAGGATTCAATGAGGGATGGCTTTCTGTTCTGCACCGCAGAAGGATGGCTTGAGTGAGGCTTGAAAATAGAGATAATAGAGGTGCAACCGATTCGATTCGAATAATTAAAAACAACTCACCTGTTTGACGGCCGAGCTCGGAATTCTCTCCTGTTTACCATAGCAATTCAATGAGGGAGAGAAGTCAGCGCTGTACCTTCAATTAACACTCTTGATAATTGGCTTACCTCGAATCGATTCGATAGATAGGCCGATTGGATAAAGCACAGCACTCACCATTGTTGTCGCCCAAGCTGGCATATTACCTCCTTTTACCATATGAATTCAATGAGGTAGAGAAGTCATTGCTGCGCCTTCAATAATGAGGGACCATCGGTGCGATCAGTTTATCATTAACCTTAGCAACTTCAAAGGTTCTTTTATCCACAAATCAATCTAAATATTTCGAAAAGAATCCCTGTTACTTAACGATAACACATGAGTTGATTCTGGCAACTGAAGTGCGAGGTACTTCCCTATTTTATACAGTAAACGCGAGCCAAACGATTTCAGAGTGCAACTGAAGGGGTAACCAAAAGGTGCGCCGTCTCAGGAGACGGAATAGCATTAAAGTCAGCGGAAGTTGCGATACCTCGGCAGAAGACAGATAGAAGAAGGGAGGATCATGTTCGAGTTGCACCCATCTTTGAAGCCAGCCCTGGCGACACACCCACTACGTCATGTGTTGCCGCCCAGTATCATTCATTCCCTCATTCAACCTTCTTTTAAGCTAGCCCTGGCTACCACACCCGACTACGTCGTGTGTTGCCGCCGCTACTCTATAATTTAACAGCTGCCATTCCATTATTTTAACTCTAACCTTTAAAGCTCCTGCTTGCTTATTTTGCTTTTGTGCTGATTTCACTAACCTTAAATAATAATAATTTATTCCTACCCCAACTGTATTGAAACCATCAATGTCATTTTTGTTGCTTATGACACTCTTATCCTTATAACTTGGCTCGCCGAATAGGAAATAGGAAATTCGGATTTTTTCAGCGCTCGTCTCATATCCCTTTGCCTCAGTTTTGAT